AAAATTCATAAAAGTTATATTATTTTGTGAAGATTATCTTGATGGACAAAACATGTAAGTTTAATGAACTATGGTTGAACACGAGCTTATTTTTTGCAATAATCCAAAAGCCTATGGAAAAATCCTATTGGCTTTTTGTCGAGGGAATCAGTGTGATGCTAACAGCCGATCAGCCTACAAAGGGATGTCATAGTTCCCCCACTCTATAGGTCAATATTCACCATTAACCAAACGCTTTTCACCTGCCCACAACATCCCTCACTGTTTACACTCCGATTGATGCACATAAGCAAACAGAGTTAACAGACAGTGCAATTCTACACTTTTATCTATTTGCCACCATACCTTATTCTTCTCCTATAATGGATAGAGTGTCCCCGAGCACCTAAGCTTTGCAGGTGCGTCACACATCTCACTATCTGCACGCCGAGTGATGCAAGTAAGTAAATAGTGCAATTCTAACGTTACACTTATTTACCATCTTACTTTATATTTTGTTCCTCTCTTTTAATCCGTAACACAGCACGTTCCATTGCACAAACGTCACACGCCTGCCACAAATGCTCTCGCTGTGTACAGCCACGGGACACCGCGATTGATGGCCATGATTTTTAATATTAAGTTATCTGACTTTGGCTGTGGCATGTTCTGTGACAGCTGCGTCTAGATCGGACTGGTGAATTGTCATCTGGGGCAGGCATGAGTAGCAGCGTTTTCTGTATGGTCACGGGTATGCCAACTGCTTTCAATTGAAAGTAGCTAAAACTGGTAGCTAAATACTTTTGAAAAAAGTCTCAAAAGGGGTGGAGAATTCGCTAAATCTAGCTACAAAGTAGCTAAATTGGCAACACGGGCATCAACCGGAGTGTAAACAGACCGAGAGATCTTAAGGCATGCGCGACGCTTAGGTGCCACGGGACGTGCGCTCTATTATGGGTTAGAAGAGAGGAAGGCAACACCGTGTCTACACCGTGTAGCCACGGTGTAAGGTGGCAAGTAAATAGGCCTAAGTGTAGAACTGCACTGTTTGCTTATGTGCATCAATTGGAGTGTAAACAGTGAGAGATGTTGAGGCAGGTGAAAAGCGTTTGGTTAATGGTGAATATTGACCTATTGTGCTTCTTGTAGGCCGAGCCCCGCCTTGATATAATGATTGACAGGTTTGGGGCGTAATCGGCTCGGAATGCATTTTCAAATCTCTTAAAGGGTTAATTCACCCAAAAATTAATATTAGCCTGTGTTTTACTCACCCTCAAAGCATCCTAGGTGTATGTGACTTTCTTCTTTCAGACGAATCCAGTCGGAGTTATATTAAAAATTGTCCTGGCCCCTCCAAGCCTTTCAGTGGGGGTAAGTGGGTGTTGGTGTTCAAAAGAAGTGAAATAAAGTGTGCGCATCTGTAATAAAACGTCCCTCACACGGCTACGGGGGGTGAATAAAGGCCTCCTGTAGCGAATCCATGCATTTTTGTAAGATAAATTTCCATATTTCAAACGTAATAAACACTTTTTTTCTCACTTCCACTGACTGTGGTAACAGTGGAAGTCATGCAGGCGGATGACGTAAGACGTAGGCGTCGTACGTGCGCCTCTGAGAAATGCAGGAACAAAGGAAACAAAGTTTCCTTACTTTAGCAAAGGAAAACCAGTCTCCTCTTGGCTTATATCGAAATCCTCTGACATTTTTCTTTACAAATCCTCGTTTTGTGCTTCTAATTCGTGACGGGTGTTTTATTTTGATTTGTCTCCGTTTTCGTCACTTGTCACGCAACGTCAACGTCTTACATCATCCGCCGGAACGGCTTCCACGTACAACAGTCAGCGGAAGTGAGAAAAAAGTGTTTTATTATGTTTGAAATATGGATATTTATCTTACAAAAATATCTTACAGTTCACTTCTGAACTGTTGACAAGCAACACCCGCTTACCCCCATTGAAAGGCTTGGAGGGGCCAGGACAATTTTTAGTATAACTCTGATTGGATTCGTCTGAAAGAAGAAAGTCACATACACCTAGGTTGCTTTGAGTGTGAGTAAAACACAGGCTAATTTTCATTTTTGGGTGAACTAACCCTTTAAGGCTATAAAAAGCTGTAATTTATCATTTAGAACAACAACAATATAGAAGATAAAGTAGAATACAACATTAAATTCATACATTAAACTATATAAAATGTGCATTTAAAAATGTAAATGACTGTAAAACTACGTCTTTAAAACCTCATTCTCACGCCACAATAAAAAAAATGATGGCAATAAACCCTATTGTCCAATTCACACTGCATTTTGCTACAATTATCACGCGGTATCACGATGACAATGCAATGCCAAGTGTCCTACCCGTAAGTCTAAATGCATTTAGGAAAAATGGCATTTAAATTATAATTTTGCTACAGTTTTTGCTTGGACAATTTTAAACATCTAATCAATTTGGGTAATACATTTTTTCATTTTCATTTTGCAACATAAAGTGTTAAAATATGTTTACATATTAAAACTAGTGTAGGAAATGGCAAATCTAAATTATATAATTTAATTTTCATTTTCATTTTGCACACTAAACGTTGCACATATGTATGGGAAAGTGTACATTTAAATAAAGAAATGCATTGCCATTTTACATATTGCATTGCCATTTTGCAAATTACATTTCAAAATGAATTTTGCTACACATATGCTTCCATATACATGTAAGGGGTTTGCAGGAGGTTATGGTGTCCCCTTACATTCTGGGAAATTTTACACAGTGTAACACTCAAATACACATTACAATGCATTCATTCATTCATTGGAATTGATGTATTCTGCTTAAAAAAAATGTTTCTTTGACAAAAATAGTTTTTTAAGCTTTTTGTTACAAATGTTTTTTGGATGGAACTTAATATTCTAATGGTGTTACAAAAGAAAGAAAGAAGACAGCATATATATATATATATATATATTAGTGCTGTCAAATGATTAATCGCATCCAAAATAAAAGTTTTTCTTTACAAATATATGTGTGTATACTGTGTATATTTATTATGTATATATAAATACAAACTAAATATGTTATGTTTATATATTAAATATATTTCTATATAATATAAAATATAAGAAAATTAATATATAAATGTATAAACGTAAATATTTTCCAAATATATACTGTATGTGTTTGTATTTATTTATTTATATATATATATACATGTATATATGCAGTATACATAACTAGGGATGTAACGATTCACTCAACTAACGATTCGATTCACGATTTTGATTTCTCGATTCGATTCACGATTTTATTTTATTTTTTACAAAATGAGGTTTAAGACAAATTATAAATAAATGTGTCCGATTTTCAACCGGCTCGCGGTTAATCGTTACATCCCTATACATAACATATATAATGTAAACAAAAACTTTTATTTTGGGTGTGATTAATCGCAATTAATCGTTTAACAGCACTAATATATACAGTGTGTGTGTGTGTGTGTATATATATATATATATATATATATACACTGAACAAAATTATAAA